CATGTGTGCATGTGCAGGCTGACATGCACTTCATGATGTGAGCACGTGTGTTGCAGAGTGGCTTGGTCACCGTGATGTGTGCACACAGTCTTCCCCTCTCCACGGCGCCGCGTTCCTGTTGCTTTTTGTGTTTCGTCGTTTTGCTCTTCTTTTCCTCTCTGTCATCTGCAACCCATCACCTTCCCCACGTCCATCATCTGCCATCCATCATCAAGCCTTCTCTATCCACGAAACACTTGGCCCCTTGTCGCTCCTCTGTAATTGAACCATCTCCACCTCACCCTTTTGCATTTGGTGTTTTTTTGTGCGCGTGTGCTCCCTGGCCCTTTCTTGTCCCTGCCCCGCCTCATCCATTGTCTTCGTTCGAGCATGCATTTTTGCACCTCATTGCTTGGCTGTTGCTTGCTGGTTGTTCTGTGACTTGAGCTGCCTCTCCAAATGCGCTTCCGTTTCCCTGCAAGATTAGACATTCCCACACTTTCATTCACTTTCACACACACGCACACACACACTTCCACACACACGCACGCACAGGCACACTAAATACACACACGCACGCACTTCCACACACACTAATGTAAATACACACACACGCACACACACACCTGCTGCTATGGCCATTTTGGCGGGAAAATCAAACCATTCAAGACCACAGCGAACAAGATGATGTGCAGAAGAGGAAGAAGAGGGTTTCGTGTTTCGTGCAAACGCAACGTGTGCTCCTATCTTCCTCTTCTCTCTTTCTTCCCTCTCTTCTCTTCCTTCTTCCCTCCTCTCTTCTCACGCCCTTGTTCGTTATCACCCAGGCGGATAGGCCTGGATATCAATCAGCTCCCCCCCCCCGCCCCGCTCACAAGAGACACGTACGACTTTGGTGCCATCAAGTGACCCTGCGCACTCGCTATCCCCCTTCTTGTCTTTAAATCCTACTACTCCCCCCCCCCCCAAACTCATTCATCTCTCCTCGCCAAGGACCCTCTGTCATGTATGGAGGCGTCAATGCCTCGCGGGCTTCTTCGCGCCAACAGCAGCAGCTGGGCAGCAGCAGCGATGTGTCCTTGCAGGGTGCACAACAGCGGCAGAGCCTCGAGGGCGAGATGGAGCGGCTCAAGGTCACGCAGCGGTCTCTGGCCCAACGCATCGAAGAACGTAAGGTCCAGTACATGTGTACATATGTGCTTGACTTGTGTATTTTGGTGGGAAGAGAAGAGAAGGCAAGGGAATGCATTCGACAAGTGTGCATGGTTGAGAAGGAGTATCCTCATATTGTCCAGCCTTGTTAAGTGTCCCGCGCGTGATGTGTCTTTGGGCTGCCTCTATCCGTCCCCTTTCCTTCCAGCCTTCTTTGTGTTGTGCTTGCAGTAGTGCAGCCAATGTTCAGTGGTCCAGCTCAAACACTCATCATCGTGTCTCTGTCCATCTTGCCACATAATTGCAGGGCGCCGCCAGGTGCTTGCACAGGAGCTGCAAAACAACCGAGGTGAGTGTTATGAAAACCTTAAAGTGGCTGCAGGGGTGTGGCCTTTGGAAGAGTGAACGGGTGTTTGCTTGGTGCAACCGAACAGACCTCAAGTTGTTGCTGTGCATGACTGTGTTGGACATCCTACCCTATCATACAACAGCGACACCTCAGCCTCACCATCACTCAACAAGAAAACAACACCAGCAACACCGGCAGCTGCGTGCTGACACAAACGCCTTTCCTTTTGCCGTTGTTGCCCCTTCCACACGTACGCATTGCGCCACTAGCCATGGCACATCTGCAGGAGCAGAAGCAGTCCATTGCCACGCTGCAGGCCCAGATTGACGCGCAGTCAAAGCTTGTGAGCGCATGCACGGCCTGCCTACACCGCATGGACCAAATTGAGATTGAGGGGCTCATGCTCGCCGAGCAGATTCAGTGCGTCCACACACGTGAACTCTTCTGAGCAGTGGTTTCCGATTTGTGCTGTTGGCAGTGACAGTCTTGCAGTGGTGTATACATGTGCACTCTTTCATTGTATCAACTTCTTCTGTTTCATTCCAGCCACTCCGCTGGCACCACACGCACGCACTCGCTCACACCTGCATGCACGCACATTGCCACCCCTCGGCAGGTCAAAGATCGAGAGGCGCGTGGTCAGGTCCTCGAAGACAACTCGTACGACACGCAAGCGCAACAAGAAGAAGTGAACAACGCAAACGGCCAACAACGGGTCGCAGATGCACAAACACACGCACACGCACACACACATGCAGAAGTTCAGTTGAGTTGTCTAGCGTGAGACGTTGCCCAAGTATGCCTGCAATACACAACACCGCCAAGACACACGACACAAGCACGCGCAAGGGTGAGGATTGCAGCAGAGAGGGGTTGTGCACGGATGCCACACACACACACACACACACACACACACACACACACACACACACACACACACACACACACACACATGTGCCAACTCACAGCGCGCGCGCGTTCGGCACATGCGAGGAAACGGTTGACCTCCTCAGCGCAGTCGAGCGGGCGCGATGGGTTGCTCTTGAAGCACGCAAGCACGGCCCCCTCCTGCACCTGGCACTGCGGCTCTGACACGTCCATGCTGGTGGAGGTGGAGGTGGAGGTGGGGTCGTGTGAGATGGCGGTGTGCATGTTGTCTGGCCGCTAGTCGTGTTTCTGCGCATTACACGCACACACACATAGAAGAGCACACACGCATGCACGTACACACGTTCACACACGTTCACACACGTTCACACACGTTAACACGCAGGTACCTGAATCTGCTCTTAAAGTCTGCAAGCAAGCCTTCAAACTGCTGTGTTGCATTCTCCTCTCGCTGAACAAGCATGGGCCCACGATATGTGTGTGTATGTGTGTATGCGTGAAGTGGTGCTTGTACCGTTCTCCAAAACGCAGCTACACAGGTGCAAGGAAGGTGCACGCACAAGCACGCACATACACGCACATGTACACACATATACACACATATACACACATGTATACACGCACACACGAACGCACACACACACACACATGTATACACGCGCACACACGCACACATGCACACACACACGCACGCACGCACGTGTTGTTGGATTTCGTCGACCCTGTTCTGCCATTGCATATCCAGTCTCATGAGCTCCTAGGGTGGAGGAAAACGTACAAAGGTTCAACACGTCATCGGCAACACGTAAGGCTGTGGCTCAAGTTGACACGCTTGTGTTCTACATTTCAAGTCAAGACTCGCTCAGCCAAATACAGCCACACGCATACACAAATTGTTACATACACACACACATACACACATACACACACAAAGACAGGTACACACACATGAACACACGCATGCACTCGCTCCCACCTGTTCCCTGTCGCGTCGTTCCAAGGCCGCGCCACGTTGGAATCCCTGTTGGAGAAACATGCGCCAGCGTGAGCGACACAAGACCTGAGATGACAGTGGTGGACACATGGAAGCCCGTGTCGATGGGTTGCAGTCTCACACACCAACCTTGTTGTGGGCCGCTTGCAGCGCACCAGTGGCCTGCTTGTATTTGTCATGGAGCTCAGTGTATGCCAACCTCAAATCCGCCTCATCTGTGGCAGCCCGAACAGCAAACAAACGAGCAACTGGTCAGTAACAAGCAAGGCCACACGCACACAAGACAAACATGCACACACACGTACACACACACATATACACAGACACCAACACACGTGCGCGCGTACCTTTGAAGTCCTCGTGAGGCTGTGGGCCTGAAGGAATCACCAGGCATTCACATGACGTGAAAAACACGAGCAACAGTGAGACAAAGAGAAAGAAAACGCACACTCACTCACATGACCGCGAAATCACACCAATTCCTGCTCGAAGCAAAGGCAGTGACTGGGACGAAACCTTTTCTGTTTGTGAGTTGATGATGCCGGATTAGGTCGCGCACCACACCCTCTGTCACCTGTACACGTGCATGAACGTGCATACACATGATATTGGTCAAACCACGTAACACATGGCTCCACACAACCACATGCACATCATACAAGCACGCAAGCACGCACACACACACACACAAGTACACGCACGCACACACAAGTACACGCACGCACACACAAGTACACGCACGCACACACAAGTACACCCACCCACACGCACACACACACACACACAAGAACACAAGAACACCCACGCACACGTACACACACGCGTACACCCACGCGTACACACACGCACAAGCATACACAAGAACACACAACTGCGTGTCACTGACCTCGATGTTTGTGTCTGACTGCTGGAACAGCACCTCCCGTGACGGCTGCGCACCCATCGTCGTTTGTCCTTGGCTTGGTGCAGATTATCGGTGAATGTTTCCCACTAATTGTCAGTACATGATATGCTGTCGCAAACGACATTTCCATCCGACTGCAACATCCTCCATCATCATCCTCAACACTGACCAGCCAGCCAGCAAGCAAGCAAGCATGGGTGACGATAGCCAACAAGCAGGAGCACAAGTGATGGCCTCCCTGGAAGGGAAGGTGGTGAAAGGGTTTGGACGTGGGAGCAAGGAGCTCGGTATTCCAACAGGTGCGAGACCGTGCTCACGGGGCCACACGGACGCGGCGTGCTGATTGTGGCTGGTCGGTCATGTCATCCCATCTCATCACATGCGTGACCTGCTTGCGTGCATTGCAGCCAACTTTCCCGAGGATGTTGTGGAGGGCCTCCCGGAGAGCATGACACAGGGCATCTACTACGGCTGGGCGCAGGTGAGGCCTTTGCACTCATGCAGCTGCGGGAGCGCAGTATCAGCCACGCTGAACGTGTCCTTGTTCTCGTGTGTGTGCGTGTGTGTGTGTGTGTGTGTGTGTGTGTGTGTGTGTGTGTGTGTGTGTGTGTGTGTGTGTGTGTGTGTGTGTGTGTGTGTGTGTGTGTGTGTGTGTGTGTGTGTGTGTGTGTGTGGGTCTGTTGTGTGTATGTGTGTGGGCGTGTGTGTGCGCGTGTGCGTGTGTGTGCGTGTGT